GGGACTGAGGTGAGGCTGACTGGCCTGTATTTCCCCGGATCCTCCTCCTTCCCTTTTTTAAAGATGGGCACTACATTAGCCTTTTTCCAGTCATCCGGGACCTCCCCCGACCGCCATGAGTTTTCAAAGATAATGGCCAAAGGCTCTGCAATCACAACCGCCAACTCCTTTAGCACCCTCGGATGCAGTGCTTCCAGCCCCATGGACTTGTGCTCATCCAGCTTTTCTAAATAGTCCCGAACCACTTCTTTCTCCACAGAGGGCTGGTCACTTCCTCCCCATGCTGTGCTGCCCAGTGCAGTAGACTGGGAGCTGACCTTGTTCGTGAAGACAGAGGCAAAAAAAGCATTGAGTACATTAGCTTTTTCCACATCCTCTGTCACTAGGTTGTCTCCCTCATTCAGTAAGGGACCCACACTTTCCTTGACTTTCTTCTTGTTGCTAACATACCTGAAGAAACCCTTCTTTTTACTCTTAACATCTCTTGCTAGCTGCAACTCCAAGTGTGATTTGGCCTTCTTGATTTCACTCCTGGGCTAACAGATGAGTTGTGTGTACAATGCCTGAGCAATATTTGTATACTCCTCCCTGGTCATTTGTCCAATCTTCCACTTCTTGTAAGCTTCTTTTTTGTGTTTAAGATCAGCAAGGATTTCACTGTTAAGCCAAGCTGTTCGCCTGCCATATTTACTTTTCTTTCTACACATCGGGATGGTTTGTTCCTGCAACCTCAATAAGGATTCTTTAAAATACAGCCAGCTCTCCTGGACACCTTTCCCTATAAGATAGACTCTGTGGGCCAGCGGTCCCCAAACATTTTAAGGTCATGCCCCTGCTTCCTATAAATATAATCTGTATGTGCCCCCCCTGAGAGCCGTGGCTGGGAGCAGAACTGGGGCTGGCAGCAGAGCTGCAGGTGGGAGCCTCAGGCCCCGGGGGCGTCAGCTGGGGGCAGGGCTGGGGCAGAACTGGAGTGGAACTGGGTGGCACTCCCTCCCCGCCCCCCGTGGGGGCTGGCCCAGGCTGTGTCCAGGGCTGAGAGCAGAGCAACGGCTGGGAGACGGGGCCTTTGCTGGGGGCAGGTCTGGGTCCTGCAGAGCTGGAGGCAGAACAGGGCTGGGTGGCTTTCCCTCCCCGTCCTCCCAAGCAGGGCCGGCTCCAGGTACCAGCCAAGCAAGCTGGTGCTTGGGGCGGCAGCTTGTAGGAGGCGGTATTCCGCCCAATCCTAGGGCGGCACGGCTGCTTGTTGTTATTGTTCCGCTCCGGCTGCCCTGTAGGGGGCAGTGGCATGGAGGATGGGAGTGCCCTACAGCAAGCCCGGCAGGGCAGCCCGCGTCCTTCCCTCCCAGCCTACCGGAGTGGTGCGGAGCCCTCCTGGCATGGGGCACGGTGGGAGGGGCCGCGTGGCAGCGCCCCACTGAAGCCCTGGCCGCCCCCCTTCTCTCTCTCCCCCTGCTCCCTTCCCCTCCCCCCGCTAGCCTGGGCACATCTGTAGGGCAGGGAGTCCCCCTGCACCCTGGCTCCGGCCGCGCCGCAGGTTTTTTTTTTGCTTTGCTGTTCTGGCCGCCGCGTTTTTTTTGTTTTTTTTTTTTTGCTTGGGGCAGCCAGAAAGCCAGAGCTGGCCCTGCTTCCAAGGGGGCTGGCCTGGGCCTCACCATGCTCCCCGGAATGTTTCTCCACGCCCCCAGAGGGGGACACACCCCACAGTTTGGGAACCACTGCTGTAGGCTGTCCCAGAGAGTTTACAACAGGGGTCAGCAACCTTTCAGAAGTTGTGTGCCGAGTCTTCATTTATTCACTCTAATTTAAGGTTTTGCTTGCCAGTAATACATTTTAACGTTTTTAGAAGGTCTCTTTCTGTAAGTCTATAATGTATAACTAAACTACTGTTGTATGTAAAGTAAATAAGGGTTTTAAAATATTTAAGAAGCTTCATTTAAAATTAAATTAAAATGCAGAGCCCCCCGCACCAGTGGCCAGGACCCGGGCAGTGTGAGTGCCACTGAAAATCAGCTCGCGTGCCGCCTTTGGCACGCATGCCATAGGTTGCCTATCCCTGGTTTACAATCTTAAACCCCAATCCTGCAATCTGGTGTGTTCAGGTGGACCCTCACGCCATTGTGAGGAGTCCCATTGAAGTCAGTGAGGTTCCATAAGGGTGCCAGGAACTGCCTGCTCAGATCAGCTTGTGGCCCTAGTTTAAGGCAAGGCATAACTGGGGGTTAAAACAAATGGGGGAGAAAGATGGGAGAATGGGCTAACAGACTAGTTATGTGTACAAGTTGTAGGTTTACAGGCTGAAATTTTCAAATAGGAATCTACAGTTAGGTACCTAAAGAAGTAGCCTGCCAAGCACCCACCATATCCCATTGACTTCAGTCTGACTGTGATGTGGTCCTATTTTTGTTTGGATTCTTTTTTGTGCTAACTATGGCCCTGATTCTGCAAACACACACACAACCTTAATGAAGTTCTTTGTTGTGTAAAGCTAAACACTTGCATCAGTGTTTGCTGGATTAGGGCCCATTTCAAATTAAACTGAAAGTGTCTGGTGTAAATTCTGTTGACAGTATAATTCTCACTTCTTAGGAGATGTGCCAGTGTTGATATCAGAAGACACAGTTATTGCTCAGCCAGCAAAAATACTAAACTTCTTAAGAAAACAGGTGAGTCTCTAACTTGCTAAAGAGAAGTGTTGGGTTTAGCTCAGTTAATTTAATTTGCAACTTGTTTTTTTCTCTATCATGTAACGTTTCTACCTGTGTCCCAATATTTATCTATAAATATCCATATTTAGATTGTTTCTAATAACATGAAGCTGATTCTGCAACTCTTGCTTGCGTAGAGTAGCACCAGATCACTTCATTTTGACTACTCATAAGTAATTGCCTCTCAAGCATAAGTAAGGGTGGCAAAGTGTGGACCATGGTTAGCTGTTTAAGTAGGATTAACCTTAACCCTTCTAAGGTTTAAATATAAAACAAACAACAAAAGCTTCATTGAGCAGGCTGACCTAGCCTGAGTTGTGTATTAAGTGTTCAAATAGCTAATCTTTTTCTAATGTTGCTGGTTTTTTTAGATCACAGTTTTATATCAAGTTTTTTACATAACTGGATTACTCTAACAAAAATTTTTATTTTACTTTTAAACCGCTATTATTGTTAATCTGCTGTGGGGATTTTTTGGATAGCAAAACAAAGAAAATCTGGAATCATTTTTAGTGATGCACATTTTGGCAATGTACAGTTTTGCTTTTGATGAGCTACGTCTAGAATGTTAAGTAATCTACAAAGGGTGGGAGTTGGTTTGTACAGTTTTTCCATCTTTATAATGTAGGAAGAGGGCCTAAAATGGTATTGTCTCTCTTTTTTCCCCCTGCTTTGTTTTTACATTAGAAATTCAGTTCCTGACTAGCCTGGAAGAGTCTCTGATGACTGGAAAGTTAGTGATATTATGACATCAGAAGAATTAAGAGAGTGAAAGCTGAGAATTGGAGCTGGGAAAGGATTTTTAATCACACTGTTAAATAGGTGTTAAACCCAAGATTTTTAAACATCAGTGACTAAGGAACCTCTTGGAGAAAAGACATCGGTTAGAGATTCAATACCTCTCTCTTTCCAATCAAGGTGTGAGAACTAACAATATGCATCCTCCGAGATACCCAAGAGGTCTTCCACAAAAACTGGGAACACTCCCAATATGTCTAAACTTGTCTCTTTTTGACCAAACAAACTTCCAAATCTTCTTTATACAAGACTGAAAAAGTGGGCACAAGACCCATTTAAAAAAAAAATCTGTTGCAGGTCATCTTTTAAAAGGAACAAATATGTACCTGCATAAATTTGTGTGTATCTCTCAGCCTTACATTCTTTGAGATGTTTCTCACTTCTGCTCTAGAAACCAGGAATGGTACAGAGTAGTTTATACACATATCCACTTCTCTTTTCTTTTCTTGGGCAGTGAACTATAAGGCTAAACATCAGGGGTCAGATTCTGATCCCAGCTGACTTAAATGGAATTGATTTGTTGACTTCAGTAGAATTACTCAAATTTATGCTGGTGTAATTGAATCTAGAATTTGGTCTATGGTACCTTTAGCACTCAGACAGTGTTTACATTTCTAAAACAGTAACTTTGAAAAATAGTGTTTTGGTTTACTCTTTATACATCACCATATGTGCATGAGGCTTTACAGAAAATTGAGAGCTATCTGCTGGAGGAGTTCAGTACAGTATTGGGACCTGAGTAACACTTTTTGCAGCTGTTTCACTCTGCTGCTGCTTGGAAAGCAGTTAAAGGCAGGCTATTTTTCTGGGCCTTCCTACCCAGTGGAGGCTGAGGATACTGGGAGCAGTAGAGAGGTTGGGCAGGGAGAGGTTTAGCGTAGTGGGTATTGGTGATTAAAGGAAGGAAATTTCAGTAGCTATACATTTTCCATTCTTAGATTGCAGGACTTAAAATTATTTTGGTTACTCGACCTGCTTAATAACTGTTTAGCTCTACAGAAGTCACCAGTTGTGGGACTTCTTTTCTGTGTGAGAATTTTCATGTGACACTATGTGTGTGTTGCATGTGTGTTTTTTAACTTGACAGAAGTACAATGCTGATTATGAACTATCTGCAAAACAAGGAGCTGACACACTGGCATACATTGCACTGCTTGAAGAAAAACTGCTTCCTGCTGTGGTAAGCATCTACAAACATAAAATGATGGTCAAGAGAAAAAGTGATTAATAATTAAATAGTGCCTAATGTGAGACATTTTAAAGGAACTTGGTTTCCAGAAAGAGGGTAATGAACGCTTTCAGACACCAAATGGAGCAGGCTATACATTATTAGTAAATATTTGTATCTGTGAAGGTGTTAGGCAGCATGCATTGCTCCAAAATGGATTCTTATGGGAGATGGTCATTGGTGTTGACTGTGGAGATGTAGCAGTCACACCACAGTTATGGCTGCAACTTACTTCCTTTTTTAAGCCCAATTTTGACAGTACTTCTAACTGCTTCCAAAAAATTGGGGGGGGGGGGGGGAAGGGATCTCTGAGACACTCTTTTTAAAATGAACTATACCTATTTTTCCTTTATTTTCTTTCTAAATGCAACTTTTTTGGAGAAACTGTGTCACAAAAACAATTTATACTAGTGTGACATTTTGGGGCTCACCCAGACCAGTAAGGGATTCTGTCACTATCTCTCCTGTAACCTTGGGGTGCCTTAATGCTGTGCTGCTATGTCTCAGATCCCTGACACCAATAGCCTGCCCATAAGCACAAGGTCTCACCCTGGCTTCCACCAGCCCAGTTATTCACTGCAGGGTGACACTAATGGCCCTTCCAGTCCTGAGTGTCCCAAATCTGTTCTCTCCAAGTTCTTAAGTACCAGACTTTTCCCCTCTGATTCATCACCCCTGAAGGCATTAACCAGGGCAGGCAGTGAGAGAACCCCTTACTGGTGTGCATGGTTCCCCAAAATGTGTCAACTAGAAATTTCAGATTTGTTTTATTTAGTACTCCCGAATGAGATCTGGCATGCCTGACTATTTTTGATAATGTCAGGAGCATAACTGTAGAGTTCTTTATAATGGATTTTTGGAACTTCTCAAGGTATGCTGGTATAAAGATGTGCTGGCAGAGTCTGTAAATGCTGTCAGCTGAACTGCCCAAGTTTAAGAGAAGTTACACATGTGCCTCTAAAGATTTGATTTAAAGACTGTTTTGTCATATGTTCTATTAAATAACCTGTGTTCCCTGTACATCACATCTAGAATTGTAATATTTTGCTTTCTGATAGAAAGATATTTTAACTATCCTTAGCAAGCTTTCATGCAATATAGATATTTTTTTCCGAAAACTACTTTAAGATACAGTTCAGGCTTTAAATAGGTATCAGTTGTATTTAAACATGAGTCTTGTACTTATTTACAAATGTAAAAGCCTACACATTAAAAGTTAAGGTTCTCTAACAACCTTAACTCTGACTCTATTAATATCCATATTCTAACAGACCACGAGTAGCCTCCATACCTCAGTCACATCTACCATAGGCCACAAGCCCTCACCAACATACTGTGAATTACAGTAAAGATGTAGAACTCTGTAACTGCTAGGATTACCTCTCTATTAAAGTTGTATGACTTTGGCTCCAGTTTGTACAGGAAACCATTACCTACCATACTATAGGTCTACCAAATCTCACAGACTGGTGCTGATTCTAACCTAGCCTCTTCACCTTCATCTACTTCCTGAGAGCAATAAACACCAATATCTCTCTCATCCCACTTCTGTAACTGTCTCAAACCCATTCCCTCATTTTGTTCCTCAATGAAGGATATAGTGTGTGATAGTGATATTATAGTGAAATAATCTTTTCCTGTGACATCAACACTGCACAGTAAGATGAGTGAATGATCTATAAGATCAGTCGTCGATTTATTTAGATCCTTCACTTTGAATGTTATGCATTAACTACAATGTCCTAATGTCTTAATTTAATTTTTGGGGGGAGGGATAGCTCAGTGGTTTGAGCACTGGCCTGCTAAACCCAGGGTTGTGAGTTCAATCCTTGAGGGGGCCACTTAGGGAATTGGAGCAAAAAATCAGTACTTGGTCCTGCTAGTGAAGGCAGGGGGCTGGACTCGATGACCTTTCAAGGTCCCTTCCAGTTCTAGGAGATAGGATATCTCCATTAATTTAAATTTAAAATTTAAATTTAATTTAAAATAGGAGCATAGTTACAGCCTTAACTGTCTCTTAATGCCTTGTGTGTGGGAATATAATTTAGTAAGGAGCCTGCTTGCTTATTTTAATACTATGAAAATTCCTATTATTTGTGTAACAGAGAACCTTACACAGTCTTTATAAAGAGAAGCATAATGTTTTCATTAGAATTCCTATTAACTCTTGTTCATGTTCTTCACTATGTTGATACAGCTGCACACATTCTGGGTCGAGGCAGAAAATTACTGTACTGTGACAAAGCCGTGGTTTGCTTCAAGGATTCCATTTCCATTGAGTTTGTATCTACCTGGGAAGATGTCCAGGGAAGCACTTAACAGGATCCTGCTGACGAGGGGAGAGCCTCCACTATACAGTTTGAGTGAAGTAGAAGCACGGGTATGCTTTGCTTTATGAGTAACGTAGGTCACAAATTGGTACTGACAAGGGGAAGAACTGAAATGGAGACTTACATTGTGTAATGATAAACGCTGTTCTGCATACTAGTCTTCCCACTTTTTATTGCTCTTAGGTCAATTTTTCTCTTGTTAGATATACAGAGATGCCAAGGAGTGCCTAAATCTTCTATCAAACAGATTGGGAACATCTCAGTTTTTCTTTGGAAATATGTGAGTGTAAACCTTTTTATGATTGATAGTCATCTCACATATTGCATGCTCTAACATTATTGATTATGAATGTCTCATGCTGCTCCACAAGAGGTTCATGTTTAACATTTATCTTTGGAGGTAAGATCTGAAGAGAAATGTATATGTTATAAGGAAACATAGTACTTCAGTGTCAAAGTCTATTCAGACAGGGGTCTTGGTGAACCAAAGATGATAATTTTTCACTAGAACCTTCTGTGCTTTCTCCACTTATTTATATGTCTTTTGCTGGTGATGGCCATTGCTTGAACAAGATAATTAAAACCAGGCCCATCCACTTTAACTGTAGCAAACTCCCAATTTTGGCCACATCATGCTGCCTCAATCCCCAAGTGTGGAAGGCCCTAAATACAGTAGACCCACAGGTCTACTGTGCAGGTGGACATTCCATGTGTGCTAGCTCAGCAGCTCTCTCCAAAGTAGTTCTGGGAGATTTGGAAGCAGGAAAAGGGAGGGGCAAAGGTGTGGTAGTTATCTAAATCAATGCAGTGATCCCCCCACACTTAGTCAACTGCTGCCTACTTCTATTTATGGGCTGTAGTGCTGGATGTACTAGTGCTTTGTGGCCTGTGAGTGGATTCTGTTTCCCTGCATAAAGTTTGTTCACTTGGTCTCTGCACAGAAGACCAGACTGTTCCAGAGGTGGTGCAAGAAATGGTTAAGTGACTTGAACGCCTACCATACATGGAAGCAGGGCTGAATTTTAATTCTGAAATTATGCTGCTTGAGCTTGTAGGGCCCTCTCAAATTCAGAAGCTGTAAAGTCAGAGAAGTGCACCTAGCTGATGGTGTGATGGAGTCCCAGAATAATTGGTTAAATTGTGCTTTACATTTTTTTGGTGTGTGCTCAGAAAGTGGTTTATGGAGTATGGCATTGTTAATGTTTTGTCTGTTTTTACATTCTCTGTAGGCCTACAACCTTAGATGCCTTTGTATTTGGTTTTCTCGCACCTCTTTATAAAGTGCACTTCCCTAGAGTCCAATTACAAGAGCACTTGAAACAGCTTTCCAACCTGTGTCGCTTCTGTGATGACATCCTGAGTGGCTACTTTAGACTTAACGTTACAGGTAAGTCATATTTGTTTTTCTTCTTTAACATGTATACTATATTCAAAAGAAGGATGCCTCTTTCCATTGGACGCCAAATTGAAACTATATTAGTCAGTTACAAAGCTACAACTTTGGCCTGTGGCTTTTCATGTTGAGGTTGTGGAGAAGAAATTAAGTCATGATCAGTTGTCAAGTTGTATAGTAGGATAAAGTAATGCTTTGGAACAGTGAAGTGACAACAGCACTTGTTTAACATTTTTAAGTAGCTTCTCCTGCCCCTTACTCTTATCGTATATTATTTGGAAATGGGAACAAATCTACATTTGTTATTCTGATGTATGAAACTGAGAAACTGGATTGTTCCTCTTCTTCATCTTTGTTCCTGCAGCCTAAACAGACATCTCCTTTGGGTTAAGAAGATAACTTAAGTCTATATGGCCAAGTTTGGTGGTCCTTAAATTGCGCAGGTCTCCCACTGACATTGGGGGAGGTTTTGCTCAATAAAGGATGACAGCACTTGGCCCTTATTTACCAATTTTTCCTCCTGTATTTAGAATCTGTCCCTTCAAAGTCAGATTTCTTTTCCTTTTCTAGAAAACAACCTACCAGTGTAAGCCACACCAAGACCCATAGTGTGCGTCTTTATCCCTCCTCTAGTGACTAGATCATGTAAGAGGTTTGAGTTTGCTACTGCTTCCAATGGATCTGGTCCTTTAACTGAAGCAGTAGAGTTTCATGCTTTTAGATCCAGAGATCCCAGCTTCAGTCCTGCAGATGACTCAACCTGAGGCATCAGTACACCAGCATTTCATGTTAGGATGTAGATATAAACACAGTACTGACAAAAACTCAAAAAGCCAGACTGATATTGCCTCTTCTGATTTGCCAGCTGATATAGTGTTAGATGTGTGTGTTGTGGGGGAGGTTTCCCTTTCTTTGGAAGGCTGAGGGAAAGGATAGAAGGCATGGAATATATCTGGGAAGGAAATGGGTACTCTTGCATTACAGTAAAGGGTTACCAATGTCAATTGTACAAGAATAATCCCGTCTAGTCAGTCTAAAAATCCTACATAAAATATCTAATGACTTGGGATGGGGAAAGGAGAAGAGGAGAGTTCATAACTTCTCAACCACTTTGGACAAGTTAAGATTAGCATTGAATTTTGAAGACTAAAGGCTTGTCTACACTAGGGGGGTCTCAACCTTTTTCTTTTTGAGGCCCTCCCCTCCACCCCAAAATGCTATAAAAACTTCACAGCCCAACTGTGCCACAATAACTGGTTTTCTGCATGTAAAAGTCAGGACCGGCGTTAGGGGGTAGCAACCAGGGCAATTGTCTGGGGCCCCACGCCACAGGGACGCCACCAAAGGTACATTGTTCAAATTCAACTTCATCCCTGGCTGGTGGGATTCAGGGCCCTGGGCTTCAGCCCCATGCAGTGGGGCTTCGGCTTTCTACCCCAGACCCCAGCGAGTCTAATACTGGCCCTGCTTGGCGACCCCCCCTGAAACCTGTTCTTGGCCCCTCAGGGGTCCCCGGACCCATGGTTGAGAACCACTGGTCTACACTACTGCTTAAATTGATGTAAGTTACGTCACTCAGGAGTGTGAAAAAACTGCCCCCCCGAGCGATGTAACTTACATCGACTTAAAGCGGTGTTTACACCGCACTATGTTGGCGGGAGACGCTCTCCCACTGGCATAGCTTCCTCTTCTTGTTGAGTTGAGTAATTATGTCGATGGGACAGTGCTCTCCTGTCGACGTAATGAATCTTCACCAGACGTACTACATCGGCACCGCAGCAGCACCAATTTAGCACAGAAGTGAAGACAAGCCCTAAGTATTTGACTATTGCAAATCTTGCTTATGGCTTTAACTTTGCTGTCAAACTTCTGTGCAAATGGCTTCTTTATGGCTAGATGGAGTAAGGAAAAGAATCACAATTTTTTTGAATTAAGGGGGGATCCTGAAACTTTCTTTTGTTGTCGTAACATGAGGACGTGGTTTTTAAAGGGTTGAAAACCACTTAATCCTTGCCTTTAAAGCATGTCATGAATTAGCAGGGTGTACCTATATCTACATCGGAGTTCAGGTTCAGGATTTCAATTTGGAAACAAAAGGCTACAACGTTGTCTGCAATACAAAGTGTTTCTTTATTAAAGACCTGTTTATAGGGGTGAAAAACTGCATGATCTTTCTGTCCAAAAAAGCTTTGCAAGAGACTTGTGAAGCTCTTCTAAATTTCATTTCAATCTTCATCTTTCTGCTTTGATGCTTTAGGCTTCTCTCCATCTGGACAGGATACGGTAGATGCAAATCTACAGAAACTCACACAGCTTGTAAATAAGGAATCCAACTTGATTGAAAAGGTTATTTCTCTTCAGTCTTTATTTTCCATTAGTTCTTGTGACTTCATTGTTGTTCCCAGTTATTCTTGCATATTGGGGCCTGGTCTACACTACAGATTTATGTCGATGTAAGGTAGTTTATGTTGACCTAATTCTGTAGCATCTACACTAAAATGTCACTCCCACCAATGTAACTCACCCATTACACCGACTTCCTAACTCCACCTCTGTGAGAGGTGTAGCGATTAAATCGATGTAGTTAGGTTGACACAGTGCCAGTGCATACATTGACTGTTGCTGCCTTTCAGAAGCTGTCCCACAATGCCCCACGCTGACAGTTAAAGTGGTGCAAGTGCTCCAAGTGAGGACACGCACCGCCAACACAAGGAGCACAGTGTGGCTGAGTAAAACCGATTCAATTACTGTGGTGGCTGTACGTCGATGTAAATTAGGTTGACCTAATTTTGTAGTGTAGACTTGCCCTAAATAATCATTAGAATTTGCACTGTAAAGTTACTTCTTTCCTTGTTTCTTTGCTAAGGCGTTAATTTACATAGAAAAATATTAACATAATGTCATAATTCAAAATAAACCAGTAACAAATTCTTGTTCTTCCCGAAGTAACTGTTTCATTGTATTCAAAGCAGTACTGTTGACAAAGGAAGTACTGTGTGTTCAAATGTTGAAGGATAACACAACATATTAATAGGAGTATGTATTATTTGTGATGCAGTAGCACCTACAGGCCTCATTCCAGGATCAAGGCCCCATTGTGCTAGTCACTGTACACACATGTAAAATACACAATCCTTGCCTCAAATCTTGTCATCTTCCAAAGACTAATGTCAGCAGTTTTCTTTTGAATAAATGCTGTTCACCAGCAGAATTTGGTTAACTATGTCCCTATTAATAATCCAGACTTCTCCCTGAATTAAGGAATTGGTAATGAGAGAGGCAGCTTTTCACTGTCAGGCCTGCAGTTCAGATAATCCATCTGAACTAGAGACCAAAAGTCCTTCCCATGTAACTGTTCAGGGCCTTGTGTGAATAGTCTTGGCAATCTAGAGATGTCCACATCATCAAATCTGCTGCAGTCTGACACTACCCCTTTTGTTATGGTTTCTGTTATCACCACTTAAATCGGCAACTGACAAAGTTTTTTCATGGTGTCCCCTAAGATGTGGAACTTGCTCCGTATGGACATCCATTTAAGCCCTTTCCTTTCGGTTTGAAGACCCAAAGAGCCTTCTATGTAACTACTTGTTATCCCCTGTCTAGGAACAGTCCTTCTTTCCCCTACTCACCCTGTATTTTTAATCCCATATTTGTTCCTTCTAATGCTTGTTGGGTTTTTTTTTTTTTTAGTTAATGGGTGAGTCAGAAGTTCCCCAGTCTGTCCTGTACTTGGTAAAGGGCACTTGTTTCCAAGGCTCTCTGTCAGAACCTTTCATAAGAACTAAATTACTGGGGAAAATATTTGAGGACACCAAGCATATTAATTCTCTAAAAAATGCTACCCAGATGTGACTGAAAATAACATTCAGAGGAAAATGTCAATGTATCAAATGGTTTGTTCATGAATAATGTGGAGAATTTCCTGCATTAGGTATTGATTGTAACATATTTGATGGACTTTATGCACTGTTCTATGTGGAGTGTTTCAAATTCCATTTATTTCTTCTGGGAAGTTAAAATCCTTTTATTCCGAGATTGCTTTTAACCTGTCTTTGAAAAGATCTTATCATGCTCTTTTAGCAATATATTTTATAAATCATTAGCTAATTGAAATTCCCCCAACTCCTTTGCAGCTTCAGGTGCTGAGCAGGTTAATGCGCCAGTTGAATTTGGCAGCTTTATGACTTTTGATCCAACAGAATTTGGCTGTCATAAAACTTAGGTACTTCCTTGGAGAAGGTGAGCCACAGCATTCCCTCAATGCTCCCAGTTAGATGATTCAAGGAAGAGCCCACATAACTGTCCCACCTCTTATCTGTCATGATATAAATAGCTATCTCAGCACAAGCAGGAATTTAGGGATGAGAGAGGAACTAAAGCATCCCTTATGACCAGGGCTGAGAGCAGAAATAGCAGGGTGAGACCACTCACAAAAACATTCATGACTGGAACCTCGTATGCAGGCTCTTGGCATGCATCTGTGTTCTTCTGTATGCCAGATTCAGCTTCCATTTTGTTTCCTGCAGATGGACGACAACCTTCGTAAGAGTCCTCAACATCCCCCTCGGAAGTTGACAACACTCAAACTTAGTGCAGCAGGAGATGAAAGCAGTTCATTGAATCGCTTGTCGCCCTGACAGCCTGTGTTGCCATGTACGTGTGTTTGCCTTCAAGTAATCTGAACTTCACAGTAATTCTTTACATAAATGTGGTCTGACAAGGGGATGAATCACTAAATATGGTATAAAACCAATAAAACATCCCGTGCTGTCTATTCCTATAGTCCAGTGAACTAACACTAAGTTAAACAATGTACTGTATGAAATTGCCTTAACTTCTGGAGATTTCTGCCTTTTAGGCTAGCACATTTGTTGACTAAGATTTCATTTTACTTTTAAGATTTTTGGTTTTACTGTAACCATGTTATAGGTTGACCAGGTTGCTATACACTAGTGTAGCTACTTAATCATCACTTCTAGCATTTTTCTAGATTTTAGCAGATTACCAAATTCAGTTCTAAAATGGGTAGGCAATGGAAGATTATCTTTGATGGCAGACAAGAACTGAAAGTAATGAGGGGTGTTGGCCATTTGTTAATGTGCTTTCACAAATAATGTATTGTGTATGTCTTATATTTTAAGAGTATGTATCTTTTAAAAGTCACATTGCACTGCTAGGAGGCACAGTGACCAAATGTACTAAAACATCACCTCTGAACCTTTATTGAGATCTGGCCTTAGTCAAACAAGTTTCATCAGCCTACTGGATAGCCATGCTATAAAATCACAGCACAAACTATAGTATAAAAAGATTGGCTGTGTTGGTTCAACAAAGGCAAAAGACCAGACTAGCTGGTCTGGACTGAAGTGCATTGGTTAGGGTTGTGTGAAGAAGCTTGCACAGGCCTTTTTACTTTATACTGCTGGCCAGTCTCTAACAAGTCATCAGTGTCTCCCTTTTATAAGCACTATAATTCACCCAAAAACTAAAACAAAAGCCATCTAATCTTATTCCTTGATCAAGTCCTTGAGAGCGTCACACTGCAGATTCTTCATTGAATTGTTAAAAGAGATGCACATGTAATTATGTTTCCTCTTAGCAGCACTGTCAGTTCTAGAAATCCAGATAATTCTGAAATGTTATGTTGACAGATGCTTTATTAATGATATCATCAGATTACTAAAAATGCTCAGCCAAAATGGGAGCTGCTTTTCGTCAAGTGTTAATTCAAGATTTCATCTTAGATAGAGATGATGCAGACGGGTATATGTGCAAGATGACTGCTAACTTTATTTGCCAAGTCAAACTAAGAAGTTTCTTGACATTTTTCCTCTCAACTATTTCCAGTGTTCAGTATATGTAGATAAACTATTTATACAGACAAGACTGTGGATTGTGTAAATACTGTACTTTATTTGATCAGCAAGGAATGTAATCTTAACTTTAACATATCTTGTTATTTATAAATAAAATGTTGGGTCTCCAGTGGACACGTGGAAATAACTTTGTTACATGCTACTTCTAGAATGTTTTAGCAATTTGAGACATACTGAAACCACACACAATAATTGAATAAAATAACTTTCATGTACATCCCTAGGGTTGAATTTTTTATTGTCTGCATCTTGATGAGATTTAGAATGAGATCATGTTGCATAATTTCTCCAAAGTTCTTTCATAATCTAACAAATGTAATTGCGAAAAAAAGTATAACTTGATTAGTCTGTTTTGTGACTATGCATGTTTTCCCTTTAAAACTTTATTTTGTAAAATAGTTGATCTCTTGCTTTGAGATTAAAGGGGTTTTTGAAGCACTTCTTATTCAGAACTAAAAGTTTGTGTTTGAGGTAAAGTTTCCTATGGAAGGGTTTGCATATGATCTATGAAACACTTCTACAGAGTAATGAAAGGGAAGCTTAATTGGCAGTTGGTATAACAAGAGGGATCACGATAGGTGGATTTGTATATAACGTCATAGATTTTGTTTAAATTTAAATTATAAGCTTTTTTGAATAATTTATTTTTTTTATATTAAATATATATATATTATCAAGACTCCTCCAAACTGATTAAATCTGAGTACTCTTATTGTTAGAACCCCTTTGGCCAGACTGGAATCAAGCCCCATTTAGTCTTAATTTAACAATTAGTTAATATTAATATTAAGGGTTTGTATTTAGTGACTACTCATTCCAGTCAGTGGCCAATTGTTGTTAAATCTTTTGTGCAGACCAATATTTAAGCAATGTAACTCAAATGTAAAAATAAACTTTATGTGGAAATCTTAACCTCTGGTATGAAGACAGACATCAGATTATGTGTGCGCTACACGTAGGTGGTGGGCAGAGTTTGATGAATCAGTTGTGTCATTCAGTTACTGCCTCAGGCTCGGTCTGAGAATGAAAATGGGTGGGCCTGTGAAGTCACAATGCAGTTCTGTGTGAACTAAGGTATATAGTTTGGTGTGGATGTCAAGTTTTTAAATATGGCTTGTGTGTATAGATCCTTTTGAAAACTAAAAACAAAAATAAAGCAAACTTTTCTGTAACTTTCTCTGTTCTAATTGCAGGGACATCTGTAATATCCTAACGAAATAAGATGAGAAGTATAAAGAAATGTAAATGTGCTCTATTTAAGGCTTCAAAGGCTAACTTTTAAAATGGTCTTTATTTATTTTTGCCGAAAATCTTAGTGGGATATAGCATGTTCTTATAAATAATTGCATTTTTATAAAGTTACAGCACATATGCCAAAATGGCTTAGAATGGTATTAAGAAAACCACTCAAATTATTTGATTTCTGGTTAAAATAGTTTTTCAGACTCTCAAAATATGTACCTCTCTTACTCAACCTTACTATTATTTTTGGCATTCCAGTGGAAACCATTTATAATGGTATTTCTCATACATAATATCAATAATTTTTTTTCTGTTATATATTTAAAACCTTGTTGCTGTAGATCAAATACTCTTTGCTGATCTAAGCTATTGAAAGAGCTGTTAAACACACTGGCCTTGTCTAAGACATATTACTTAATGACATGTTAGATTTAGAATGTACTGATGTAGACCCCAGTTTATCAAAGCACTTAAGCATTTACTTAAAAGCTAAGCCTGTGGCTAAGTGCTTTGCTGAATTGGGGCCGTAGATCACAATCCTGCAAGGTGCTAAGCAACTCCTGTGAGGTGCTGAATTCTCTCAACACTCACTGACACTTCTCACAGAAGTGCTGAGCATGCTGCAGTATTGAGCCCTTGTTCATAAAGGTCGGACTCGATACAGAGCAGGTTTAGGCATAGACACTTACGCTGAGACTAGTTGCAACAAGCGCTAAAAAACTTTAATGTTAAATTGCTTAAAAACATTTTCTCACTTGACAATGAAAAATCCACGTAAAGAACTGATGGCCTTAGGCTTGTACTTATTTTCCTCTCCTTCTCATGTTATAATGTACTCTGTCAGGACTGTGTGGGCACAAGGGTTGTACCCAGTTTTATAAAAAGAGTATTTAAGGATAAGCACAGATGTCATTCATATGTGTGCGGACATTCTGCAATTGTCACCATTTTAAGAGTGAACTGTCTATCTTTACTGTTAGGTGTCATTTAAAAACTAACCAAAAAGAGTTTACTAAAGAATCTTGCCTACCTTGTGGCAGTAGATAGTGCAATTTTATTGCCACACCATTGCCTTTAAAAACACATCTTCCAATAAACAACTTTGGGAAAAGATTTCCCTTTGGCACCATTTAGCCTTCATTCGCATATTCTGTCACTGCAACCCTATTTGTTTAAATCCTAACTGTCAAATATATTCAATGTTTTACAATATTGAAGTTACATATGTGGCTCTGCGGGTGCTTTTATTCCACTATCAGTATACATAAATATTCCTTTTCTCATAGTTAAGCCAACATTGAATGAGAGGGTAGAGAAATCAACTGCCTTGTGTGTCAAGAATGTTCATTTAAGTAGAAACAGCCTTCTTTTTAAGCATTCTATATTCAGTTTGAATTGGTTAAATTATTTTGACATGGGTGGCGAGGTAGTTTGCAGGTATCTTTGCTGCCAGACTTTCCACTGTAACATTTAATGCTTGACATTTCCAGGGCACTGCAAACATTGTCGGATCATTGCAACCCCTTTATGAGCCCAATGTGTAAGTGTTATCCGCATTTTTATAAATGAGGGAGACTTGAGCCACAGCAAAGTTTAGACTTACCCAAAGCACATCTAAAATAAAGGTGGTGGTGGTCCAGCTTTATCTTACGCCCTCCTGTGTTGCTTTTCCTCATTCTTTTTGTTAAACAAGCAAACTGGGCATTTATGATTACTGCTCACTTGTTTGAACGATCATTTATCAGCTGACTTAGCTGCTTGGCAGGTGCCTGTTGTGGAATTACTATTTAGATTCAATTAAGTTAGGAACTGAGCTTTTTTACTTAAAGAATAGAAAAAATTTCTTACCTAGGCTGTAAATATTCCTCCCTTCCTGATAGACAATGTCAGTTTATAGTGTCCCTACTGTTTAACTGTTCTCTACTTTTTTTTTTAATATGGTGTTTGTGTTTCCTTGGCATTTTCCTACTCTGAAACATCTCTTGTTTGGACAGTTATTTCTGAATAAAGGTGTTTGGCTTCTCTCTCTCTCATCCCTTTCCTCCTCCTTTTATCTTGAGTAAATCTCTTTCTATAAAAAGAACAGGAGTACTTGTGGCACCCTAGAGACTAACAAATTTATTAGAGCATAAGCTTTCGTGGACTACAGCCCACTTCAGATGCATACCTTCGAAGGTATGCATCCAAAGAAGTGGG